GAGGGAGGAGAGCAGGGGAGGAGGGAGGAGAGCAGGGGAGGAGAGCAGGGGAGGAGGGAGGAGAGCAGGGGAGGAGGGAGGAGAGCAGGGGAGGATAGCCCAGGGAGAGCAGCTGGCGTGTCTGCTGGGACTGGGCCATGCTCAGGTCAGGGCAGGTACCCTGGCACTAGGGCCTTGCGAGGCAGCCCGAGACAGGCACTGAGCCACCAGGCAGGTAGAGTCTGGCTTTCCTAAGGGAAGTGGGCCCTGGAAAAGTCCCAATCTCTGGGCAAACACAGGTGAGGTCACAGTAGTGGTGGAGGGGTGCTCCTTTCCCTGAGGGTGGGCCATGGCTCCCCAACACCCCGAGTTCACCCCCACCCCAGGGCCACACCCTTGGGCCACTTTCCCCTGGATGCCCATCACCACTGCGTCCATTTGCAAGTCCCAGGTTCTGTGGTATGTCACATGCAGTCACAGCCATGAGCATCTCTAGCTCAGCCCCCCAGAGTACAGACATGTAAGAGCGGTCCAGCCAGGGGAGGGGTTTGCCCCAGATCACACAGCCACATTCGGTCAAGCCCACATTCCCCAGTCCCCGTCCAGCCCCACGCACAGCGCCGTGTCCTCCCACACCCAGTGTCCCAGCCGTCTCGGGGACAGGGAAGGACAGGAGGAGAAGCAGCTCTGGCTCGGGCCTGGTCGGCTGTCGAGGTGAGTTGTGGACTGGCAGCCCAGGCTGAGCTGGCGGGCACAATCTGTTCTCACCCCGCGAGGTCACAGACGGGCCAGGCACGGTGATACCACAGCTCAGCTGTCCAGGCCCCTGGCAAGGGCGACACAGCCTCACACCGCCAGCAGCTGTCCCCAGAGCTCCCTGAGCTTTAAAGTCAAATGGCCTTGGGCTGGCGGAGAGGCTAGTTCCACTGGCACAGAGCCGCCCGCAAGGTGCTCTCTTGGAAACGGAGGGAAATCTGGCTTCATCAGCTCTTGGGTATTAATCACCGGGAGCTGGTATTGAGAGCTTGACACCGCCCAGCCCTGGCCTCCCTGCATTATAGACATTATCTCACACATTTCTCCCCCAGGTCTTGTGAGGCTTATTAGCTGCACTTCACAGATGTGGAAACTAAGGCACTAAGAGATTTTTTAAAATACGACTAGTCCATGTCAGAGTTAGAATTTGAAGTCACATCAGACACCGAAGCACGTGGTACCCTGTCTCGCTGTTCACTCATCCAACGGATCTGGGCGCCACCCATGGGCAATGCAGAGGTAGAAACTAAAATGAAATAATACAAGGTCTGGGGTGCCCGCCACCCCAAGCTACTGTTTAGCTGTGCATATATAGTTGGGGACCCTGGGAGCAGACTAGGGGGTTGTAGTCATATTGGCCCTGGGGTTCAAAACTGAACACACTTAGTACTGTTCCAAGCAGAGACAACTTCTGGCTGCGGGGAGCCCAGGGTGGCTGCATGGGAAAGAAGCATTTGGTTACAACTTTTTTTTTTTTTTTAATTTTTAAAGATTTCTTTATCTATGCAAACAAGAGCTGGGGTGTGGGCCAGAAGCGCAGGGAAATGAGAGGATTCACCAGAGATAGTGGGGAGCAGAACGGGCCGGGTGACGAAACACACTGCTGAGGGGAGCAGTGGGTGGGTCAGGAGAGGTCTGCGGGACCATGTAGAACACCTCCCAGACGGGGATCGAACTCATACTGAAGTGGCTTTAGCTTCTTAGTGCAGTGCTTTAACCCGCTGCGCCACCAGGGAGGCCCCTGGTTATATTTTGATAAAGCTTAGAAAGGAAGAAAAACTAGAAAATCTACCTGCATTATTTTATTATAATAATTCTACTAATAAAAGTAATAACTATCTTGATGATCTTGAAATACACGTAAATATCTTGTGAAGGAAGCAGGTTCAGGACTAAAACCATATTTTATAAAAGAGAAACAAACAGGCTCAGAAAGGGAGAGTAATTTCCCCCAGGTCACACAGCCTAGTGGCAGGGCCAGAACTTGTGCCAAGGACTTCTGAGTTCTCACCCAGGATCTTTCTCCTTCAGTCCCCAGACAGAACTCTGGACTAAAGTCCATTTGATGGTGAGTGCAGAGGAAAGAGTGGACTTTGCCTTTGCCTGGCTCTTGCTCAGTGAGGGCTGAGGAGTGGGGTGTGGAGACACACAAGTTACCTGGCGGATAACTCCTGAAAGGCCACCCAGAGCCCTGTTTGATAAGGGCAATGTCATCTCCTTATGAGGGCTGAAATTGTTCAGTCCTGGGGCCCCAATGGGGAACTGACAAGGACTCCCCAGCAAGCTGGGAGTGGGGGCACTCTCTCCTTTCTCCTCTGGCACTGAGGGGCCAACCGCCTCCGGGAAACTGGAGGACGATTACTAAACACCCGCCGCAAGCTCTGGCTGGCAGCAGGACAGTCGTCAGGGAATCATCCAGGCCTCGGTTTTCCTCCCTCCACAGTGACTCTGAGGCCCTCAGAGTCCATTTAGTCCCATCTCCACCCCTTACAGTCAAAGAAACTGAAACCCAGAGTGGGTAAGAAACATGGAACTATGGGCTGTCGGGAAAGTTGTGATATCATTCTGTTTTTCAAGTGAAAACACGTCATGAATTTTCCGACACCCCAGATATCCCAAACCAATCCTTCCCACCCCTCAATCCCTGTGCCTTTGAGCAATACCCAATAGCACCGTAAGTTGGCTCCTATTCCAGGTACAGAAGATGGCCAGGCTTTGAAGCCAGATGCCAGTTCAAAGGCAGGTGCTTCCAAACAAGCGCGGGTCCTGTTTCCAAGCAGGATGACCTTGGAAAAGCCACAGCCCTTTCCCTGTTCCTCCCGCCCTTCCCACCTGTCCTATGGGGGTCCTCACACGAGTGACCAAGGCCTCGACAAGGAAGTAGCAAGGTGCATGGGCGAACCCTAGCTGTGCGTGTTTTCTCAGCAAGAGGAGGCCTGAGTCTGCAAGGTGGGCGACGTGACGGTAGCGAAGGGCTTCTTGGAAGAGCACCCTGTGACGAACGCGCTGTTGTCTCCTCTCTCCCCCACCCCCGTCCTCCAGGCTACGGCCACGCAGCGCCCAGTACCGATGGCGGCAAGGTGTTCTGCATGTTCTATGCGCTGCTGGGCATCCCGCTCACGCTCGTCATGTTCCAGAGCCTGGGTGAGCGCATCAACACCTTCGTGAAGTATCTGCTGCACCGTGCCAAGCGGGGCCTGGGCATGAGGCGCTCCGACGTGTCCATGGCCAACATGGTGCTCATCGGCTTCTTCTCGTGCATCAGCACCCTGTGCATCGGCGCGGCCGCCTTCTCCTACTATGAGCACTGGACCTTCTTCCAGGCCTACTACTACTGCTTTATCACACTCACCACCATCGGCTTCGGCGATTACGTGGCGCTGCAGAAGGACGAGGCGCTGCAGACGCAGCCGCAGTACGTGGCCTTCAGCTTCGTCTACATCCTCACCGGCCTCACGGTCATCGGCGCCTTCCTCAACCTCGTGGTGCTGCGCTTCATGACCATGAACGCCGAGGACGAGAAGCGCGACGCCGAGCACCGCGCGCTGCTCACGCGCAACGGGCAGGCG